CAGCCCATCCCCACACCCTGTACCAGGATGCCGTTCCCTACCCCACCACCTCCCTTCCACCCCTGCTTGAGGGAGCTAAGGATTCTGTACCAGCCCTCTCTCCCCAGTGCAGCCCTCCCTGGCCTTTGCTCTGAGAGCTGGGACCGGACGGGTGGGTTAGAGTCCACCTCCCTCCAGCCTGCTCACTCAGCATGACTGCCGGGCCCTCAGAAGTCCTTGCTCCCTAGAGCCAATGCCCCTTTCAAGTGGGTTGGACACAACTTCCTGTGGGCACCTTCCTCCCACCTGCCCACCCAGGTTAAAGGGGGCCGTGGCAGTGGGTGGGCAGGGTCTACTTACATAAAGCTCTGAGCCCCTCAATGACCCTCAGTCCCTATGTTCTGCTGGCTCCCTGGCCTATAAAGAGGCTATCTGTGCAGTTGCCAGTGTCAGAGGGGCTGGAAGGACAGTGTGGGCCACGTCCAGGATGGGTGGTGGCTGGGACTGCTGGGTGTGGAGAGCCATCTAACCAGGACTCAGCAAGGCATGGGGTGGGGGGCAGGAACATGGATGCCTCCCAGTTCCCACTAGCCAGTGGGGTATCTGGTGGTAGAGGAACAGCTTCACCCCACAGTCCATACCAACAGACTCAGGGAGGTTCAGCTCAGCTCCCGTCTTTAGCAGAACCCAATTCGGTCCACCCAGTCTTTTCTGAGTGGCCACGCTGCACCCAGGCCTGGGTGGATTGAGGGAAGGGAAGAATAGAAAATTCCTGCTGAGTATCTGTGAGGGCAAGGTGCTCTCGAGGCATTTCTATGCATTAGTGCCCTTGGAACTCATGACTATCCTGCCATGTGGGTGCTGTTGGCCATTTTCACAGGGGGAAACTGAGATCTGAAGAGGTAAAGTGATTCATTCAAGGCCACCAGCAGAGCTGGGTGTTCCCACTGTTGTCTCTGAAGTTAGTTAAACTCAAGGTCACGTTGTTGTCAGCAGGGGAGCCTGCATCCCGAGATCTGGAGTCAGACTCCAGAGCAGGCCTGACCTGGAATCTAACCAGGTCGAAGATGTGAGGCTCCTGGAGGAGCCTCCCCAAATTCTCAGGGCCATCCTGGCTGCACTGCCACACCCGCTCCATCTTCCTGCCGGGTCCCGAGGAAGGGCTGGCGAAGTCCCCTCTGTCCTCCTGACACTGCTTTCTGCCTGGGAGGGCAGCACAGCCTCGAGCCCTTTCCAAAATGTAAATGGGAAGGGAGGCTGGGGAGGCCTTGCAGAGAAATGCCTTTTCCTGGGTCTGACCTTGTGCTCATCCCAGGCCCAGAGCAACTGCCTGCCCTCTGCCCTGGTTCTGTGTCCCTGGAAGCCTCGCTCAGCACCCTTCAAGGTAGCTCCTGGGCCACCCCAACAAGCCCCTGGCCAAACCAGATGCTATAATCAGGTACAATAGCCTCTGTCCCTTTCTTATTGGCCTGCCCAGGTGTCTCTCGGACACAGCAGGTGGCAGGGTTGTTGGGGGTGGACCCCTGGGGCAGATGGAAGGTGGCTCTCTGGGCAGGCTGGGGCAGAGACAGCTGTGATCTGGCTTTGGGCCCACTGCCTCTCACCCCAGGTCCCTTCAAACATTGGACGATTGTTCTAAGCCACATGAGGGTGGCTCTGTGGCCCTGGGGCTGAAAAACAAAAACCTGTTTAGCAAGGCTCTGCTCCACCCATGCAATTTCAAGAATTTAACCAGGATCCTGGCTGGCTTCAGCAGGAAGAAGCCTAGAGCTGAGACAGAGCGGCAGGGAGCAGGAGAACCTTAGCCCATTCCCTGAGCCCACCATGTGCCACTGGAGCTCTTGTGCCAGGAAACAAGCAGCAGGTCAACAGCAGGACGCTCACTGTGTGGTGAGAAGCACACACACCAGTCCAGCCCTAGTCCCCATTTTCCCCTGTGCGACATGGGGGGAGGCAAATGCTTGTGTGTGTCCACCCTGACCAGGAACTCAACAGAGAGCAGACAGCCAACAATGGCCAGGTGTCAAAAGGAGGCTACAGCCCCTGCCTTGTGGCTGTGAGTGGCATAGGGGTGACAGGGGGATGGCATGGACCTCAGGCTGCTGTGCCCTCCTCGCCTGGGGCTGTGATGACATAAGCGGTAAGCGCTGGCCTTGGGAGAGCGGCAGGAGGTGCCACCAGAGGGGAGGGGAGGAGACAGGAGGAGAAGGCCTTGACTCTGAGTGACATGGGAAGTGTGGAGCATTTTGAGCAGAGGAGTGACATGATCTGATGTGTATTTTTAAATGATCATTCCTTCTGCTGTTTTGAAATGGACCGTAGAGAGTAGGGGCAGAAGCAGGGACACCAATCAGGAGGCCAGAATCCAGGTGAGAGATAAGGGTTGGTCTGGGTGGCAGCAGGGGAGATGGCAAGGTGTTGTCAAGTCTGGACATAATCTGAAGGTAGTGCCTCAGGGGGTGGTGATGAGTTGGATGGAGTTGTATGAAGGGAAGAGGTGAACCTAAAATAATGCCAGGGTTTGGAAACTGGGTTAAGGGCCCCAGCAGACCTCAGCACTGCTCACACACAGCAGCAATACACGTTGGCCAGTGTTAGAGAACGGGAGGACAGGGCCCGAGAGCCACTTTCCTGGGGCAGATGCACAAGGAAGTAAGTGTCCATATAGGACATCCTTTCTGTGTACGACCAGTGGTCTAGAAGAGCGACCGCCAGCTGTCAGGAGGTGGGCCCCACTCTCCACTGAGGAAGTCAGCAGGCAGCCTGGGATCAAAGCCCAGGGGCTCAGGCCTGCTGCCCACCTCCCCCACCAAGTCTGGGCTGTTGCAGATCTTGCCTTCCCTACAGAGGGAAAAGGGACACGGTCCCCCTGCCCCAGCCCCTGTGAAGGCCCCTGCAGCAGCACACTTGAAAGAGGCCGGGAGTTATCTGCAAAACTCCAATTAAACCCACAGGCTTTGATATCTTGATAAGCCACTCCACAGTCGCCCCAGAGTCAAAATACACTGTTACTTGATCCTGTGTTTATGTTCAGGATGGTGGCCTGGGAAGGTGCAAGCAGGTCTGAGAGGGAGGGAGTGCAGGCAGAGGCTGACAGATCATCAGCCCACCAGCCCAGGGTCACCTACTGGGCTGGGCTCTCATGGGAGCACACTCTACAGTGGAGGCGGAGTGGGGTCAGGGGAGAAGCCATTAGCTGTCTAGCCACAGCTAACCCCAATCCTGAGCCTTAGGCCTGTTTAGTGCTGGAGGGCTTGCTGTTGCCAGACCAATTATATACCAGCTTGGGTGACTGATACCACCACAAGAGAAAAGCAGATAACCCCATTCCATGGTGACTTGGAGGCCAAATGCTTTACAACTACCCCCTGCAAAAGCCAGGCTGTGGTCTGCAGGGGTGGAGCGTGCACAGAGCCATATTCCACTCTGTTCCACAACCTTCCTTGAGCAAAACTGTTGCGCGTTCCCATGTGCCAATGGCACTTGGCCAGGTTATTTCAGTATACACTACCTCTGTGAGCTCCCTCACCACTCTCTGAGTTCCCTATTATCTTATTTTAGGGAGAGAAAAACAGAAAGGCATAGAGGTTGAGCAATGGTCAGAGATCACGGAGGTGAGTGGCAGGCCCTGAAACCAGAGCCAAGCCCTACAACGCCATGCCCCCACCTCGCCAGTACCCAGCTGTCTCCCTGAGCCTGGTTTTCGCCGCTCCTCGAGGGCCTTGTGCAGACAGGCAAATGGCTCACCTGCCACTAGTGCGCAGGCTGACGAGTGAAATAGGATCAGTTTATTCAGCTGACTGGCAGAGTGGAGTTTAGAGGCACAAGACAAAGGCAAAGTCCATTGATTTTGTGGCGATAGACCTGCTATTTCACCCACCAGCCATCATCCCTCTCCTCTCCTGTGGGCACACGATCACAAGTGACCCCAGTGACATCCCTCCTGGAAAGGATCATCTCGCTCCCCATGGGAGGAAGGAGAACAGGAGTTTCCGAGAGGCTACCCTAGTAGGGGAGCAGCAGAGCTAGGTATGGACTGAGGGACAGACACTGCTGCTGGTCTCAAGAGCCTTCCTCTGCCCTGGGAGAGCCAGGAAGGACTGGCAGGGGAGCACAGAGAGGGCACACTAAGAGTCAGCAGGCCTATAGCCTGGTCCCGACTCCTCCCCAAATCAGGGAGGCAGGCCGGAGGAGTGGAAAGACTATGGGCCCCTGTTTGACACCAGCAAGCTGTGGGTTCAAGTCCCGGCTCCAGCTGTGAGCCTCAGTTTCCTTACCTGAGACTCATGGTTAAGGATGTTGAACTCCTGGTAAAATTGCTCTCATGAGCCTGGCATGTAGTAGGTACAGTGAGAGCGATGCTTCTCCCTCTGGTGAGAATACACATTTGTATCTCATTTTGTGGTCTACCAAGCTTCTGCCCAGCCCTCAGGTCACCTGAGTTTTATAGACAATCCTTGGAGGTAGCAAGAGCAGGGATTAATCACTATCCCTTTGTACAGATGAGAAAAGAGAGGCTTAGGGAGTGATCTGCCTTGAAGTGGTGTGACTAGCAAGCAGCAGAGGTGCTGTGACCTTAAGGCTCTGTGTCCTATACCAGTGGTTCTCAACTACTCCACATTGTAAACCAAGTCACTGATGAATTTCTGAAGGTTTGTAGCCTTTGCTTGTTTCTTAAGTCTGCGGCAGCCAGCAAGAGAGATGGCCTTTGTCAGGCCAGGTGAGCCTCTGAACTGGATAATGTTTTTTCCCTCCATCAAAGAGCCCAGGCCATGTTGGGCTTAGTCTTACACCCCGAGTAAGGAGAGGGGCCCTTTCAGCAGGACTGCCATGGACGGGTGTGCGGGCTGCGCACTTTACAAGCTCCCTGGGCAGCACTCACAGGACGTGCCATGTGAATGGCACCCCTGGGATTGTGCGGTAGACACCCTTGTCTCCCGGGTTTCTCCTCGCCATCGCCACATGGCACCTGCCTCCTCCACACCTGCCAAACACACAGTAGAGGCCGAGCTGCCACTTACTCTTTTGGAGGGTTGACATCCTCTGGTCGGGCCTCAAAGAACTGAAAGACTTCATCACACTGTGAAATGTGGGGAGGCAGCCGGACAAGTGCCTGTGGAAAGATGGGAGAAAGGGCATTAGGCCTGATGAACCTGGGACCAGGAAAACCAAAAGCAGGGTCAACTTGGGCCAACAGTGATGGCAGAGGCCCAAAAACTGTGCTGTGGAAGAGAGTCAACTATCCACCCACCTATCCAACCAGACAACTAGTCAACGAATTAACCAATCAGCTAATTAATGAAACAACTCTCCATCCCATCAACTAACTAACCAGCCAATCAATCACTAACCAACCAGTCAACTAATAAAAATAACGAAAAAATCAAACAATCAATCAATCAATCATCCATCCAACAATTCAACCAACCAACCACCAATCATCCAACTAGCCAGTCAAACAACTAAACAATCAGTCAATCAAATGAAAACAATGACCATTGAACCCTAGGTCTCAGGGCCCTCGGGAACTATTTATTCTGCGTGAACCCTGAAAGAATTCCCTTGTGCCCCCAGAGTAAGTCTAAGATCCTTAGCCTGACAATCCAAGGTCTTATCCCACAAGCCTTGTCTTCCACTAGCCACAGTCCAACTGCACCAGATACCCACAGTCCCTAGAAATTGCACAATTAACCATTTAACAAGTTGATTATGCTATCAAGGACAACAGAGTGCTACCACAGTGTTTGATAGGACCCAGATAATTTAAAAGGGAGAGAGGTTTTAGAGGGGTTCACAGGATTTGGACAGGCACAGAGGAGAGGAGTGAGGGTCACATGGGAAATAATTGTCCAGGGAGGGCTGTGGGCCAGCTATGAGCTTGTTGTCCAGGGAAGACTGAGAGCCTGCTGCTGGAAAGAGATCACAGTCAGACGATGGTCAGAGTTCCTGCTACACACCAGCATGGACTCCTCACCTTGCAGCCTGGGGCACTGGGGACCCCTGACCAGGCCCAGTCAGATATGGAGGGGTGGGGGTGTAGGTGAGGCCAGGGGAAGCCCTGCTTCCTGGAACCCTCAACCCAGTATGGAGACAAAACACTGGAATGATCCTTTGGTCCAAACAGACAGGTGAGGTCACTGGCAAAGCAGGGCTGAGGGACAGGGCCAAGGGAACTCTGGGCTGGAGCCAGGAGAAAGAAGAGGAAATCCAGGACTGCAGGAGTGTGAGGAGCTGCTGATAAAGGGGTTCCAGGTGAGTGGTCAGTCGGGCAGACCCTTTCATGAACCTGTGTCTCCCAGCCACCTCCACCAGGGCTGCTTCAGGTACAATGACCCGATCCAGCGACTTCCCTGTGCCAAGCACACTGGGACCTCTGTGAGTGGTCCGATCTCATCTGCACATTACAGATTTGGGGACAGAGGCTCATGGAGGCCATGTGGCCTGCCCACAGGCCCCGTCGAGGGTGGGAAGGACCTCACGAGAAGGTAAGCTCCATGAGGGCTGGGGCTTTAGCCTGATTTGTTGACTGTGTCTCCAGGTCCTAGAAGAGTGCCTAGCCCAGAGCGGACGCTCAGGACATAATTGTTTGAATGAACGAAGGCATGAAAGAATAAATAAGGGTTTTGGCGTACAGAAGCCCACTATCTAACAGTAGTGGGACATGATAACGGGGCGAAGAAGCACACGTGGTCTCAGGTGGCATCAGTAGAATTACTGCATTGAGGAAGAGGGAAGTGATAGTTCAGTCCTTCTCTGAGCTGACTGGGTAACAATTCAAGTGTGGCACTGAGCACTAGGCATCCTACCACAATGGCCCTTCTCGATGCCAAACCCACACCCGGGCAAGATGAGACAAGGTCCTACCATAACTGGTAAGACAACACTATGCAACTCCCAGGTGTTCCTTCTATAGCCCATGGCTTTCCGTGGGTCTCCAACAGATCACATCCGCGTGAACGGCCAGGAAATAGAAAGGAAGGAAAATCAACATTTACAGAGCAACTGCCGCACGTCAGGCACTGTCCTAGGCCACCTGGCTTTCCAATTATCCGACAAACAACGATGGCTTTTCAGTGTGTGCCTGACCCAGGGCTGTGTCCCTGTGTCACAGGCGTGAGCCAGAAACAGCCCCTGCATCCACAGCAGCACATCTGATGATGTGTCGCCCGTTTTGTCTCTGAGTTAGAGACATCATTGTCTCTGTTTATTATGGGGACTCTGAGGCTGGTGGGGGAGTGAATTGCAACTAAAGCAAATGGCAGACTGAAGCCCTGTGCTCAGAAGGTAGGATGGGTGGAAGTTGCTCCTATCGAGTTCAAGTTTTCATTTAACACACATGGTATGTGCTGTTTTCTTCCCCAGGGAGGGTAGAAGAAAAAGGGAAAGAAAAACTGAGGAAGAAGAGAAGAGACAGAGAGAGGGTGGGGGAGAGAGAGACAGAGATAGAAGGAGAAAGAGACAGAGACAGAGGGACAGAGACATGGAGAGAAGCAGAGATGGAGACAGATACAGAGAGATACAGAGAGATAAAGACAGAGACAAAGAAAGAGAGAGATAGAGGGAGAGACAGGAATAGAGAGAGAGAAGCGGGAATCAGGCATGTGCAGACCAAGTGCTCCTGGCTGGAGGCAGGAGGAACCCATTACTGGGCTGAGTGTGTGCAGAGTCGCTGCCAGGGTCACCTCCCTGACAGGGACAGGGAGGGGACGCAGGGCAGGTTTCCAGGTGGCCCAGAGCACTAGCACCCTCCCAGCTCAGCTCACTGCCACCCGCCCAGGGGCTCACCCAGCACCAGTGGTGAACACAGGGGCTCTTCATGCCGACAGAGACCGGCATTCTAGGGGCAGAGGACGCGTGGGCCGTGAGAGCCTCAGACAAAGGGGCCTTTTGGTCAAACCACTGCAGACATCTTTATTTAATAGGGAGCCCCGAGGGGAGCCACAATGAGGGCTCGTCCTGATTTCAGGCTGACAAGAGGCTCTCAGCTCAGAGCAGCTTCCATCAGAGCAGCCGCCAAGTGTGTCTCTGGCCAAAATCATTTGGCAGGAGAGCCGGTGCTGAGCAGTCAGTCCTGGAGGCCTGGGCTGGGGACGGCTGCCAGAGCTGGGGAACCCCCACACCCATCCATCCTGGGAGGAGCAGGTAGGGGCCAATATATGGGTACTTCTGGGGCACCACCTAAAGTTCAGGCCTAAAGTTCTGCCATTGAACATTCAAGATGTATGCCAGGGGGTAGTTAAGTCAGGGCCTCGGGCCAGGCAGATGTGGGTTTGAGTCCTGCTCTGCCATCCACAGGCTGTGTGATGCTGAGTACGTTATCTGCCCTCTCTGCGCTCAGTGCAATGGACTTGATATGGCACCTGCCTGTTTGCAGTTTAAGTCAGATCATGAATATGAGGAGCCTAGCACAGTGCCTGGCACCAAGTAAATCCTCAGTAAATATTAGCTGCTGCACTACCGTCTTTATTGTTAGTATTCTGTAGGTGAAGACAATTATGTGCACCAGAAAGAACTGGAAGGAGAGTCCGGAGACCTCAATTCTACTTCCAATCTGCCTTTATGTACTTGCTGCATGACCTTGGGTGGCTTGCCTCACCCCTCTGGTTGTCATTTCTTCTAGGTCAAAACAGACTAGCTCTGGAATCTCAAACTATATCTCATGGATTCCTGTTAGATGAGGTAAAGTGAGTTCTGTGGGCACATGTGAAAGGATGTTTTGCAGATCCCCATCTTGGTCTTGGAGATCACCGTGTTCATTATCACAGCGAAGGCTCTGAGAAGTCCTACAGGAAAGAAACCTGTAGTTTTGTTTAGGCCAGCATTTACTAATCAGAACAACATCCTGGGGGATTGACTCATTTAATCATCACATTAACTCCAAGAGATGGGTATGAACATGGTTCCAATTTTACATAAAAAGAAACTAAAGCAGAGAAAGGTTAAGTAAGTTCACAAGGCCACAAAGCTAGAAAGTAGCAAGACTTTAAACAAGGCCATCTAGTCAGAGCCTCTGCTCTGTCTTCTCTATTACTTTATACCGCCTCCACCATTACCCACAGGTCTCTGACTGCAGAGCTGCTTTTCCAAACAATTCCTACTGACAGCACATGGGACATAGTTGGGACAAATCCAGACTAGGGACATTCTGAAGTTTCTTTAGCTCTAACAGTCAGCGGCTCCAAGAATGTAAAAGCACCACTATCAGTGAATTCTGTGTCAGATCTATCAATCAATCTCACTGAGCCTTTCTAAGAGACCTTTGATGCAGGTGACATTGGAGGGTCCGGAAGGCCCCAAGGAGGGGGAAGGGCTGGAATGAGCATGACCTCAGAGCCCTCAGCATCTAGGGAGGGGCCACTGTCCTGTAGGGCTGCTTAGAACACACAGGATGTCAGCTGAGCCAACATCAGTCCCCTTCCACCCTTGCTATTCTGTGGTCCAGGGGTGGGTGAGCTGGCTGACAGCAGATCTGGAGAAACAAGGCGAGGGAAGGGGCCGAGGGCAGTGGGCGCCTAGGACTAGAAAAGGCACTAAAGAGCCATCCAGGTTTGCCATCAGCCAGCACTTTCAGTGCCTCCCTCCCCGAGTCCTAACCTGCCCTGAAGTCTCCAGCTCCTGGCCCCCAAGACAATTTTCTGGGAGCCAGTGACAAGGGCCACCACTCCGGATGGTGCAGATTGAGATAAGGGAGAGGGTGGCTGCATTGTGGTTCCTGAGACCTCCTCGATATGGCGCGCCCAAGCCTGGTCTTTGCAAGTGGAGCAGCATGGGACAGGGCCCTAGCCAGGCTGTGCTCAGACCCTCTGCTTCAAAATGAACCCCCCTCCATGAAGCCCACTGCCCTGGGTAATGCCTGTGCCAGGACCAAAGGCAAAGCTCTGCATTTGGCAACACAATGGTGGATGCCTTGCTCTTCACTCAGGATCAAACATTTTCCTCTTTTTTTTTTTTAATCCTTACCTGAGGATATTTTTTCCATTGCTTTTGAGAGAGAGTGGAAGGGAAAGAGAGAGAAAAAACACACACAACACAATCACATTGATGTGAGAGAGACATATTGATTGGGTGCCTCCTGCACACGCCCCGACCAGAGCTGGAGATCGAGCCTGCAACCAAAGTACGTGCCCTTGGCCGGAATCAAACCCGGGACCCTTTAGTCTGCAGTGACGCTCTACCCACTGAGCCAAACCAGCTAGGGCCATTTTCCTCCTTTTAGCAGCATCATTTTGGTTTCTAATCAATGTACATTTTATAGGTAAAAGCCCAGTCACTCTGGGTGGAGTAGGGGTGTGTTGTGGGGGTTGGAATTCTGCCCGCTTGGCCCCCCACTCTCACCCCCATCCCCACTCCTAGAGCTGCCTCTATCCTGCCCTGACCATTCCTCCTAAGCCACTTTCTAAGAAGCTGGAGGCTCATTACATTTCTGTAATCGGAGTATTTCAAACCCACTAGTTCTCTTTTTGAAGGATTTAGGCACCAAATCCTTTTGAAACGGAAATAGTATCTAATATTCAGTTGCAGTTTAAGCCCTTTCACAAAGGTTCCTCTAGTACATCGGGGCCTTGGGGACATGTCACCCTCTTCAGAGGTTTTCCTCTGCTTGTATGTGATCTTTGCATCTTGTCATCAGATACTGGCTGGACACCCACGTGGGGCCGGGCTTCCCGCTGGTTAGTGAAGACACAAAGATAACAGAGGGGGCCTTCCAGGAGCTCCTGGCCTGGAGAAGATGGACATGCAGGAGTTACCCTGCTACGGCGCATAAATGTGTGGTGTGGAGGCACGCACAGGGCTTTCTGGGAGTAGAAGAGAAGGGTGGCCAGCTTTCCCCTGGGAGTCAGGAGGCTTCTGGGAGGGGCACCATGGAAGCTGGGTGCTTCCCCTGGCACGGGGCTAGCACAGGCCAGGGGCAGAAGCCTCAGGGAGTCTGGCTAGTTGGAAATGGCCACACTTCTAGCAGACGGGACTGCAGGGTGTGGAGGAGAGAGGTGGGAGCTTCAACCTGAGCAGCACTTGGAAGCACCCACAGAGGGCCCGGCTGAGCCACTCAAAGGTTCTTATGGGCAATGAGCCCTCTGGGGGCCTTTAAGGAGTAAGGGACAGGCTGGAAACTCCTTCTCCTGGGTCTGTTTGGACCAGAGCAGGTGGGGAGGTTCTACCAACTGGGTTCCTAGAGAAGCAGACCACTGGGGAGGCATGGACGGTTCAGTCTTGGCTCTCTGCCTCAGTCTCCCCCATTAGCAGTGAAGTTACTCTCCCATCTAGGACTGAGCATGCCAGGGAGCCCTTAAAGGAGTCTGTTTTGGTTGCAACATGAACCTTTCTCTTTATTCATGAGAGACTTGTATAAGCGTCTTTAACATGGCAAAGGGGGAGCTGATCATTCTCAAGCACTCCCACCCCTCCACTCCCCCACCCCCGGGATATCTATATTACCCCCAGACAAATACTGCAAACATGTATTTCACAGGCAGGAAAAGTCGGAGCCCCTGAAGTACAGCTCAAGCTTATTAGTGTGATAAAAGTTTTCAACTTGTTGAGGCCACGGAACCATTAAATATTAACCGCATAGCCATGTTACCTGTTAAATTAATTTATGGAGTCAAAGAAATGCCTTTGGAACCCCTCTTGATAGACACCTGGCCCTCAAGTGCCACATAAAACAATCACTGGCTGGCACTCGCTAAATTTTCCATGACGCTCATCCAATCTGCTCCATATATGTTTAAAATTAAGAGAGATCTGGGCTGTGAAATCACCATTAGGCAGGGGGACTGCCTGGCCAGCGAGGGCAGGGAGCCTGAAGTCTGAGGAGGTCCACTGCATGGTCAGACTTTCCACATCTGAGTCCTGGCAGAGGAGCTGGCTGCTCCGTGCACAGAGCCAGCTCCACAATTTTGGGTGCATTTGAATCCCCAGCCAATCCCGGACTCGGAGTGCAGCTGTCTAGCAGGTCCAAGAAAGAAGATGCTGGCCAGCCAAGCAGAGCTGCATATGCAGGTACTGCAAATAAGAACCCTGGGAATTCTAAGCAGTGTATCCAAGGACAGGCATAGACAAGGGAAGGGCTGGCCATGGAGTGGACTACACATGGGATTGACGGTGGACTTTGCTGCGGAGAGCAGTGATGTTAAGTGAAATGTTGGATCCTGAGTGGCCATACATTGGGCTATTGGGTGGCAGAGCTATGAAGTGCAACCCGGAGTGGCAGTGACCATGGACTGCTATTGCCTTAACCCTGATGACCATTCCAAGGTCATTCTAAGGTCTCAGACAATCAGACCACAGACCCCAGTGTTCTAGTTCAGCAGAATTAAAGGTCGCTTCTGCACTGCCCTGCCCCCCACCATTCTCAGAGTAAATTACGGCCTGTGAGTTGTCTGGCTGCTTGGTGAACCCATGACATTGCCCCTCATTGCCTGGCTCTGAGCCGCTCTTGTCTGAGCTAATCAGGTTAGGAGGCTCCTCCTCCGGCAGACCCCACTTAAATGGTTCCCTCAGCCACCAGCAGCAGCCCTGGGGCCCCAAAGCCCCCCTGAATCTCATCCTGATTCAGGAGTCCTGTCCAAAGCCTGATCCCAGGGGATAAGATGTTATCGGTTTCCCCCTCCAGATGATCTAGGAGGCGGCATTTCCACAGAGACCAACTGCAGATGCCTGGGCTCTACCCTAAGGCTGATGTGAAGCATGAAATCCAGCTGGAAGGTGCCTCCTCCTGCCCTTTGCCCCCTCCTCCATTAGCTTTGCTCATTTATTTAACTTCTTGGGAAAGAAACAGAGACAAATAAAAGCTCAGGCTGCAACCATCAATTTAACTGGAAATGGCAAATGCCCATTAAAGAGAAAAGCAAATACAGGCATACCTCGTTTCACTGCGCTTCGCTTTATCACGCTGCATAGATGCTGCCTTTTCCACAAATTCAAGGCAAAACCCTCCACCAGCAAAAAGATTACGATACTTGCTTTACTGCGGAGGTCTAGAAGTGAACCCGCAGGATGTCTGAGGTCTGCCTGTACTGATCTGAAGAAAAGGAGCTTCTGGCCTAAGGGAATTCATCACTGGGGCATCCTTTCAGGTTAAAGAAGTAAATGTGACCAGTATAACCTGCATAGTTAGGAAATTCAGGCGCAGTTTAATGGAGAATATGTGGGAGTGCTTGTCTTCCTATAGGCTGGAATTTATTACATTTAGCAACATGATTTTCATTTAAGCATTTTTATTGCCAAACACAGTCATTGAGGAGTATCAAATATTAGCGCAAAAAGGAACTTTATGGTAACAGCTCTGTGTTGGGACAGAGTATTTCAGAAGTGACGGACACTGCGATGTACCTTTCCTTACTCAACCCCATTCATGAACCCTATGGAAGGGTTGTTTTTACCCTCCTTACAGATGAGGAAACTGAGGCTCAGAGAGGTAAAATAACTCCCCCAAAGTCACAGAGCTAGTAGGTGGGGCACTGGGATCTGACCCCAGCTCTAATACCAGCACCTACAACAAAACATTACCCCAGTGGCCTCTCCTCAAGACTGAGTCAGACTCCACCAGAGGTTTCACTTAACAAAGAAATTCCATCTCCATTAAAGTCAGCGGTGCCCAGTGGTAACATTCGTTTCTGCCTTGTAATAATAGTGACAGAAAGGTGGCATCTACTGAATCCTTCCTCTGTAGCAGACACTACATGCTGCTGCCTCAAATGTGTCCGTTCATTTCATCCTCAGAACTACCCTCTGCGGAGGTACCGATCTCCTCCGAGGTACAGACGTGGAATATGAGGCTCCGGGAAGCCAAGTAACTTGCTCAAGTTTGTGAAGCTAGTGAGGAGTTCGAACCATCCAGAGACCTCTTATGCTCCCTGCAGGGGTCCTAGGCCCTAATCAAAGTAGAAAGACAAATAGGCTCTGCTTCTCCACGTGGCTGTCAGGCTCCCAGCTGCTCTGGCATTGGCTGTTTTAATGCACGTGCTGTGTGTATGTGTGTGTGTGTGCACACGCACTTGTATCTATAAAGATGTGTCCACGAACATCTATAACTATCAAGACCTCTGTGAATACACAAATATGCATTTCGAATGCTCTAGAGCTCAGAACTGATTCCAATAATGTCCCAATAGGAACTCAAAGCAATAGTTCTCCTACATCCAGCAAAATACCATACAGAATCTCTTCAGTAGAAAGCCCCTTAACTGAGCCCCCAAACCAGTGGAAGTGATTTCAAATAGCTTTTTGTAAACATGGACATGTCCCCCAAGGAACAGAGACTCAGCTGTGAGCCCAAGGCCCTCTTGCCCTAGAGCAGGGGAGGGGAATGTTCAGCCTGTGGGCTGTATATGGCCCTTGAAATCATTTGGTCTGGCCCTGCCATACAAAATTATCAACTTAAAAATTAGCCTGCTATATTTAGTCAAACATTTAATTGAATTTATTGAATTTCAAGTCCTGCCTGTGGTTGCCTTGGCAGGGCCAGACCAAATGATTTCTTGGGCAGAAAAAAGGTTCCCCACCCCTGCCCTAGAGGGTGGCCCAGTCATGGGATGGCTCCTCCCCAAGGGACACCCATACCCATCCCTCTGGTCAGGAAACATCGGGCCCCAGGATGCTTCTGCTAAACCACAGCAGAGGGTTCATAGAGACAGCCTTCCTTCACAGATGGACAGGCAGGGCCACCCCAAGCCCCCAGACAGCCTTACCCGGCAGTACTCGTCGATGGGCTTCAGCCTCCTCACAGCTACATCCCGGATGTGGCTTCTCCGGAAAAGTATTTTGCCTGAAAGAGAAAGGCTCATGAGCCAGGTGATTCCAGGTAAAGCTGCCACAGGAACCTGCGACCCTTGTCCTCTTAGTCCCCTCTCCCTTGGCTTCTGAGCATCTTAGCTGGCCACCACCTCTGTTTGTTGTCAAGGCAACAAGCGAGTAGTCACCTCTTTCAGGGGGCAGGAGGCACCCAAGGCTAAGAGCCCAGGACCTCTCAGGTAGGTGAGGAGCCCTAGAGGCTGCCATCTTGTCCAGGTCACTGTGTCTTGGCCTAATGGTCGAATCAATGCCCAGACTTGGGTGCGGCTCCCAAGTGACCTTGCAAATAAATACAAAGGATGGCCCAGCCCACAAGCTGTGTTTTGTTTTCAGGCCCATCCCTCCTTGAGAAATTGGCATTAGTTCCTGACAGCCAGGCAGGAATTCCTATTCTTAGTTTAGGTGGGTGGCGATTTCCAGGGCGGGCACAGGCCAGTGCCAAGGGGACCTGGCCTCCACAGCCTGACTGTTCCCCAACTTCTCTGACACAAGCCTCCAGCCATCTGAGCCACTGCACAGCTGTGCTGATATACACTCTTACAGGTATGGACAAGGCTTACAGGCAATGCCAGCCCCTCAAACCTTCCCAGCAGACTCCTCTGAGCTGGCCGAATTCAGTAACAAATAGGTCAATGCACAGCCCTTTCACAGTCATTACATTCTGAACATGAACTCTTTGGTCTGATGTTCAAGGCCTAAAACAGCTGACATTTCTGAGCCCAAAGACCATCAACGTCTAGGGCCAATGCCCCCTTTTCAGAGGCCTTCCTTGATTGACTGAGCTGGGCGTAATCTCCATCTTTCCAAGGCATCCACACACTTTGTCCATTCCTAAGGCATTTCCAACATTCTGCTGTGTGTTACAGCTATTTGTGAGGCCCCTTCCACCAGGGGCCTGTCTGACTCATCTTCAGGCCCACAGAGCCTGGTACACTGCGAAGTGCTCACACCACAGTTATAACAGGCACCTGTTGTCTAAGTCCATCCGATTTCCCTCTGGAGACCCTCCCTCCTCCATTCCTAGTCCTTGTGGTTCAGATGCCCCCCACCTTCCCAACAAGGTTAGGCATGTGACCCTGCCTAGAAAACCAGAGTCACAGTGATTGGCTCAGAGGTGGGCGGGAAACTTGGTCTGGGCCAATGATGATCAGCCCTGAGACTTCCGCTGGTGCCCTCGTTCTCCCAGTTGCTAAGCTGGCAGGACAAAAACCTGGAGCTTCTAGTGGTCATCTTTATTCTTGCCTGAGAAGGAAATCAACTGAGAGAAAGGATTTGTGTCTGGCATAAGGTAGGTGCTCAATAAATGTTTCTTGAATGATTGAAAAGCTGAACAAAGAGATAGTGAAGGGCACATTCCTTTGACATCATTTCAGCCCCTAGATATAGCTGTTCCTGTACCCAGAGTTTATCTGGTACTTTTACTTGTATAAAACAATAACCATTTTTTATCTGAACTAGTTGGAGATGGATTTTCATCACTGGCATTAAAGGAGCCCTAATTGAGATAATGACCACTGACTGTGAACAAATATGTAGATCACATGTTAACCCACTTAAGCTTCCTCTGTCCAAGTCCAACCGAGGTACAAAGAAAGGCATTTCTTCCCCAGGTTGTTTCCCTGGAGGCAGACCCAGAGACAAGGAGTCGAGAGCACGTCGTTTATTTGGGAGGTGATCCTGGGAAGTGCCAGTGGGGGGATAGGGGAGGAGGGCAGGGAAGGGGAGCAAGTATTACAGAACCAGTTAATCACTGTGGGTCTCGAGAGCGCAGTTCTGCTGGGGAACTCGGGGTATAATGCAGACCACAACTCAGAGGCATCCCAATCAAGGGCGAGGAGGCTTGGGTATCTATCCCCCCCCCCCC